CTACCCCACCCTTCAAACCGAAACGCATTACTGCTTCACGGCAGAAATAGGCGGGGTGGTGGTACCTACCCGTGCGGACTCACAAGAGGTCCTACCACGTACCACCACTTACCACACTTTAATAAAGGTCGAATCTTTTCACCATAATATGATAAATTGAGGACATCTAAATAATTTCAAAGGTACATATAGTTTGCATTAATAAGAGGACAATTATCTATTTATACATAATTAAAGGCAAAGCAGTTGAATACCGTTTTTTTTAATACCTACTTTGCAATAAACTTTTCAGTTATTCAATTTCTATTTTTGGAGAGGGACAGTGCTTGTTTCAATTATGGCTAATATTAGCGTGAATTTACTGACTATAAAATATATTTTGAACGACGTTTTAATTAGTTTATATTAATAATTAACCTTCTTTGTATTATAACTAGAAATTTTCAAAAGCTAATGAGAAAATAGGTGGTAAATTAAGTTGATTATCAATAATGAATACTCCTATCATTTAGTTTCTCTGACCAGTGTTGTATTATTCGAGTGCCGTTGTTATATTTGGTAGGACAGTTTTGGTTAAATATTCACACCTCTATCTCGGTTAATCTGATGTTTAGCAAATAGATTTGCTGCAGAAGGGATTGGTTATTTCACACAGATTTTTTAAAAAGTGACAGGTTAAGTCTTCACTTTCATTCGACTTTACTTCGTTAAACCCGGAATCGATAGAAGTCAGTATAACTGACCAATACGCCAATAAAAGATACTAGTGAACATAAAACCAAAAATATGCTAAGATTTTTTTATTTCCATACTATCACATCAATCATCATGACTATTTGAGAGACAACAGCTTAAACTGTTCACTTCTTCTTGTAGTAGAGGGAAGCGGGGCTCCAGTAGCTGCTGTAGGTCAGGGGAGAGTACGCAGCGTAGTTGGAGTAGTAGCTAGGGTACGAGTAGGCTCCGTAGGACGACAAAGGGTAGGCAGCTGAAGCTCCGTAAGTTGAGTAGGCAAGAGGGGTATACGCTGGGGCAGCGACGGCGGCGGTAGTCACGGCTGGAGCAGTGTATGCTGGAGCAGCAAGGGCGGCGGTGGTCACGGCTGGAGCAGTGTACGCTGGGGCGGTATATGCGGCAGCGTAAGTTGGGGCGGCGTATGTACGGGCAGCGTAAACCGGGGCAGTATATGCTGGGGCGGTGTAAGCTGGGGCGGTGTAGGCTGGGGCAGTGTAGGCTGGGGCGGTGTAGGCTGGGGCGGTGTAGGCTGGGGCAGTGTAGGCCGTGGCAGTGTACGCTGGAGCCGCTACGACGGGAGCGGTGACGGCGGGAGCAGCAACAACTGGAGCGGAGACGGCTGGTGCAGCAACAACTGGAGCGGAGACGGCTGGTGCGTGGACGGCTGGTACGTGGACGGCTGGTGCGTGGACGGCTGGTACATGGACGGCTGGTGTCTGGATTTGGTGCGCAACAGCAGGAGCAGCAACGGAGGTGGTGAGAGCGGGTGCAGCAACAGCGGGGGCAGCAATAGCTGCGCTAGAGAAGGCTGGAGCGCTGTATGAGTAGGTGGCGACAGGAGCACTGTAGGCTAGAGGAGCGTGTCCAAAGCTGGGTTTGCCAGAGGCAAGCGCCACAGTGGCGAGGGTAACAAGAATCTAGAAAATAATGAAATATATGTTAACAAATAAATAATTGGCACATATTAGATTAATATTTAAAAGTTAGATAACTTAAAAACAATTGGAAACTTAAAGATACCAACCAGCTTGAACATTGTAGTTGTTTGTGTGTCTCTCTGAATCTGCCGAAGACTGAATGATGATTTGCACTCTTTTGTGCATCATTTTATACAAAATTTTGTAAACCGGACTCTGACCTAATATTTGAATATTTAGTAATAATTAATTACGATCTTCTGAAGATTGCAATTTTTTGTTTCTGCTTCTTTGGAGACGGACTTATGTGAATAGATGACACTTAAATTATTCATAAATAATGGTGTGATCGTTTTGTTTTGCGTATGATTAGTCGGAATATAGATTTAATGAAACTACCGGACTTTAAATAGTGACGCGATACTTAAATTGTGATGCATTTTTGTTTACTATCCCGAAGCAGACAATAAGGTCACAATCATGATATTAAACATTATATTGAAATTAATATTGACTTTTTGACATGATGACATATCAAAATTGATCCCGTAAAACCCTTTTATCATTTTCCATGATGCCCGTTAAGTTTGGCACTCATTGTACGCCTAATTACGAATTACGATATTACGAATGGTAGGTAAGTAATATATACTATATTACTTACCTACCTTTCGTAATATCAAACATAATGATAGAATAATAATAAAATAATTTACATTTTGATGGTTGCTATAAGCATCCGTATAAACTTAGTTCAAACCCTTAACTTTTCCAATGATTAGAAGCAAAAAGTCAGTAATACCTAATAAACAAAAACACATCGATGATGGATTTATGATTCACGGAATCAAAATGTTTTAATACACCTGTTGTCACAAATTCAGACTTTAATTTATGCATATAATTTTAAAGAATCAAACGATATTAATCGATATTAATAATAAAGCCAAGCGCTATTCTTCATCAAATATGGTATAAAACGAGTTCAGACAGTTCTTTTTTAAAGTTTATCCAGAATAAGCTACATTTCAATGTTCTGTGTGTGTTTTGTTAATTATTTGTAATTGTAATTGTAACTGTAAATAGTTGTAACTTTACTCTGGTTTATATACAAAGAAATGTATTTATAAAAAATCTATTGCGAGTATATTACATAAAGTAGGGTAAGATTTCCACATTGCAAGAATAAAATATCTCATAATATTCATTAAATTCACAATATTTTCTAATTTTTAAAATTTTTATTTTTTTGGAGATTTTGTTCACGAACGACCTTAAAGTTATTTTCCAGATTTCCATTAACGTTACTCTATGAATTCACCGCACAACATTCAGTACTTTACGTAAATTTAACAATTGTCTCACAGTTGAGCACCGAGCTTAGCTTTGAACATTAAACGCTGAAGATGTCCTCGATATAAAAATTCAAATTAAATTTTATTATTCACATCTATATGACTATTTTCATTGTAAAGAGACAGCTTTATACACATAAATAGTCTAAGTATTACAGTTTAGGGGGTTTGAAGTCGTCGTGGCCTGAAGGATAGGACGTTCGGTGCAATCGTTTTGAGCGATGCACCGGTGTTCGAATCCCAGGCGGGTACCAATTTTTCTAATGAAATACGTACTTAACAAATGTTCACGATTGACTTCCACGGTGAAATAATAACATCTTTACTCTTTACTAATATTATAAAGAGGAAATATTTGTTTGTTTGTATTGAATAGGCTCCGGAACTACTGAACCGATTTGAAAAATTCTTTCACTGTTTGGAAGTAACACTATTCCCGAGTGACATAGGCTATAATATTTTTTGAAAAAAAATTAGGATTCCTTACTAAAACTTCAATAACGTAACCCAAGGTGAAAAAAATTACCTAAAATTTTAATATGCTTTACATCGCGTGACCTGCGAAAACTATTGATAATAGAATAAAATAATGTACTACGACTTTGTAGAACACATTATTGTTTACAAAGAGTGTCACGACAGCATATATATAACTATTATAGTTATGTCACAAGAAGTGTTCTTTTATTAAAAAAAATAAAACAACGTCAAATATCGTTGAATTTTTTGTTAAGCACCCGAGCGGAGCCGGAGCGGGCCGCTAATCGTGTAATAAAAATCAAAACCGGCAAAATTATAATTTGCGTAATTACTGGTGGTAGGACTTCTTGTAAGTCCGCGCGGGTAGGTACTTCCTTCCTGCCTATGTCTGCCGTGAAGCAGTAATGCGTTTCCGTTTGAAGGGTGGGGCAGCCGTCGTAACTATACTTGAGACCTTAGAACTTATATCTCAAGGTGGGTGGCGCTAGTGGCAATCTTCTAGATAATAATTGACTTTATAGTAAGCTTTATTGCACAGATGTTCTTTAACAGTTTTCTTAAACCTATGTATATGTAGGTTCTGAACATCTTGTGGGATTTTGTTGTACAGGCGCACAGACAAACATCCGAATGAATTTCGTATCTTATGTAACCTACTCATCGGCACAACAAGCTTGTGTTTGTTCCTAGTATTTCTATTATGTAAGTCAGACTTTTTAGGAAACTCCTCAATATGTTTACGAACATACATCAAATTTTCAAAAATGTTCTGGGATTGGCATAGTGAGAACTCTAGTAAGATCTCTCTGATTATTTTCATCCAGTTGCCATGAACATATTGATATCATCTAAGTAAGGCGTCATATAGCTTCTCCTTGAACACAAAACACGTATGTGTGTATTTCACAACAGTTTAATGTCTAACAAAGCCCTAGGCTTCACAAGGCTTACCTATCAAAATTCTTGTAATTGGCACTCTTTCATAATATCATTTAAGATCTTCAGTATATAGTAACGTGCTAGCAATGCATTTTTACGATGCGATTCCTAAAACCTCAAGCGAGTTATTTCTTTTCTTTCCATTATTTCATTTTTCATGAGTATTACAGTTTAATTTGTTAAGATCTCTAAATAGTATTAAATTTTATTCGGGGTATTAGGGTTAATTGGACAATAGCTGAATTTATATATTTTGTTGTCAAATTCCAGAAAAATTTATATAGTTATTTAGCCCACTCCCGATATTCTATAATAGTTCTGTTGTTAGATATGTTTTTGTAATACAATGGGCCATACAAAAATATTAAACAAAATGTCTTTTTTGGATATCTCAATACTTCAATTACTCATTTGTCACTTATTTTGTAAGAAATATTTTTTAATCAAATCTGCAAGGTTTTTTTTTAACAGAATAAAAAATATACATATATTTTGGAATACTAAATGTTTATTGTAGAAAATGTCATCGTTAATCTAAGTAATCTCATCTAGTCTTATAGGCGACTTCAACTGTTCACTTCTTCTTGTAGTAGACGGAGGCGGGATTCCAGTAGCTGCTGTAGGTCAGGGGAGAGTATCCGGCGTAGGTAGAGTAGGCGTTGTAGTAGTTGGGGTATGAGTAGGCAGCGTAGGATGACACGGGGTAAGCAGCTGGAGCGTAGGCGGAGTACGTAAGAGGGACGGGGTATGCTGGAGCAGCGACGGCGGCGGTGGTCAGAGCTGGAACTGGAGCTACAGCTGGGGTGGCGACGGCGGCGGTGGTCAGAGCTGGAACTGGAGCTACAGCTGGGGTGGCGACGGCGGCGGTGGTCACAGCTGGAACAGGAGCTACAGCTGGGGCGGCGACGGCCGGAGCGGTGTAGGCGTAGGTGGAAGGTACGTAGGATGCGTAGCTGGCGAGAGGAGCAGAGTAGGCCAAAGGTCCAAAGCTGGGCTTGCCATACGCGATGGCCAAAGTGGCGAATGCGACAAGGACCTGAAAATAACAAGTAAATACGATAATCAGTTAAAGATTTTATGAATATTTTCAATATAAGGAATTTAAAAAAAAACGTTTCACTTGAGTAACCTATTCCATATTTTGAAAATACGTGTCAAATGGCCCGAATGTGGCAACAACATTACACAGAAAATACTAAAATATTAGATTGTTGAATAGATTGTACAATAATGAAAATTATTAATAATAACGATTTTTACAAATGATAAACCCTTTAATTCTAGCACTTACTCTGAGTGTGTACATCGTGGTGTGTCAATCAAAGACTGAATGGTGTTGATGGTCTTGTACACTATTTTATAGAAAGATCCAAAAACCGGACTCCAACTTCATATCCTGCACTGCATTAGAAATAATTTAGAACTTTTGGCAAAGATTTAAGATACTTTTTGAGATGTATAAATTTGTGCCTTGTATGTGTGTGTAAAGTGGGTTTAAAAATGTAATAAAAATCAATTTTATTTTGTCATCTTCAGTGACAATTCAAGGCCAGTTGATGAAACGGGTCCAATTTAAGAATATCTTAGAGGAGAAATACATAATAGGAAATAATCTTAATAAACTTTTCAAATGTAGAGTTGAAACGATAATTTTGTTTGTTTTATATAACTCAAGGAACTGGCCTTATATTATTATATTCTACGTTGATTGTATATCACCTGTCAAGTAATTTTATANCAACAGTATCCTGAGCATGATCGCAAGCAGGCTGGACTGTATATACATGGGTCGCTGTGGTGCCATCTCCCATGGGATGTTACCACAGTAATTCATTGTGATGTAAATATAACTACTAACATAGGTCTAAGTCTTATTAACAATTTATATGAGTCATGGATACTTGAAATAAAAACATTATTATTATTATTATTATTATATAACTCAAGGAACTGGCCTTATATTATTATATTCTACGTTGATTGGATTTCACCTGTCAAGTAATTTTATAAATATAAATGTATAATAGATCATTATTTCTATTAATGTGAGTGTTTTGAACAACTCCAGATTTTGATATTTGCATTAGCTAACGTGTACTCATATTGTAAATGATACAGAAGTGAATTAAATTACTTCTATTTAAATTTTAAGGTTGTGTGTTACACGAGAAAAAAATTTGTAGTCTAGAATTTATTTTGTTGTTATATCTAAAGTTTAATTATTAAATAGTACAATTTATGGGAAACTTTTTGTTTTTATTGCTTAGGTCGCTGGACGACTTCACGGCCCACTGCGTTAAGTAGTTACCGGAGCCCATAGACATGTACAAAGTAAATGCCACCACCTACCTTAAGATATGAACCAGTTTTTAGGTCTCAGTTTTTACAGTACAACGATTGCCCCAACGTTCAGACCGAATCGCATTACTGCTTCACGGCAGAAATAGGCAGGGTGGTGGTACCTACCCGTGCAGACTCACAAGACGCCCTACCATCAGTGTACTCCAAGCATAGCTAACTCTATCAAAGAGGTCACTCAAAGAGGACCTTGAGCCTCCTGATAGGACCTATAGTGGTGAACTTCGGGTTAGGCAGTAGGAGTAAGTGCAGTAGTGGTCGTGGATCATGATGATGATGGTTTATGGAAGTCTGTTTAATGCCAAGCTATTTAGACCACGCTAGATTTTGAATTTGATATTTAACAAGAGGGGAGTCCATTCTGAGATGTAGTCTGTTGAATTTTAGTGTCAGGACGATATTAAATATCAGTAACGATCTTAATTTTTGATTCCTGATAAAAAGATCAATTGTTTCTTTAAAAGTACGTTTATACCTACTTATAATATAACAATAACATTTTATAACAATGCAATTTTATATTTATGATTTTCTATTATAAAAAAACATATCGAACTTTTTTTTTTTTTTTTAATAAATAAATATTTTACTAACAATCACGCCACGTTAACCGGCCCCGTGCTAAGTTCGTAAAGAACTTGTGTTACAGGTACCAGATAACGGATATAAATGTAAGATTTTTATTATACACATACATATATTTAATATACATCCATAACCCTGGAAAAGACATTTATATTTATCATACAAATATCTTCCCTTGTGCGAAAAACAAGCCCAAATTTGTTTTGGAACATTAAATGTCACAAATCGTTCACACGTCCCCAACGTTTCAAATGATTCATTATAATATATGTATGTATATTAATTGTAGTTTTAACTTCGACTACTAAATAAGGTAGTGGATTAAAAAAACTGTCGAGTCTCCGAATTTTTTTTCTTTGTAGAAACTTATTGTATTGATAAAATGTTGTTACTTAATCTATATTATTGTTTAACAACCCTTGGTAACGTTCACAAGCGATTAAAAAAGGGTGGGCTTCGATTTCCACAATGCTATTTTTGAAGAACGTTTAAGAAACTTATATTACTGATTATAATTAAAAATAATATATAATTGATATATAAAATGTTTCTGGTTACATATAAGAAGAAACACAAACAGTACTTCATAATTTATTTTTATTTCCGAAAAAAAAAAACAACTTTACCATTCAAGTTCAGGATTTCAAGCGCCAGGCAGAAAAAAAAATCAGTCGCGAATTATACTTTTTTGTATTGGAATCAAATAAATAAAATATATCACATCAACATATTTGGTTTCATGAATTTAGACGTATTTTTATTTAATTAAATGTAATAAGAATATGGTGATGCGTATGAGTATGCGGAGTATGCAACCGGAGAATATGCAGAGTACGCAGAGTACGCCAGGGGTGCGGTGTACGCAGCAGCGACCGGAGCGGTATATGCAGCAGCTACAGGGGACGTGTAGCTCACCAGCAGAGGCTTGGCTGACGCGAAAGCCAGGAGAGCAACGAAGATCAACTGCAGAAAAGAAAATAGTATAGTTTTTTATTTTTTATTGCTTAGATGGGTGGACGATCTCACAGCCCACCTGTTGTTCAGTGGTTACTGGAACCCATAGATATCTACCACGTAAATGCGCCACCCACCTTGAGATACAAGTTCTAAGGTCTCAGTATAGTTACAACGGCTGCACCACCCTTCAAGCCGAAACGCATTACTGCTTCACGGCAGCAATAGGCAGGGTGGTATCGATAGTATCGATTAAATCCATTATTTACTAATGAATGCGATGAAATACAAATCGATCAATTGCGTATTTTACATTTAGTTTATATTCATATATTTTTAATATATAAGAACAATTTAATATTGTAAAGATTTTTTATAACTATCAATGTTGATTTGTAGCCAATGTGTAATATTAATTTGATAATTTGAAATAAAACATTACTAATAAATGAGTAAATCAATTGGTACTTACGTATTTGAACATTTTGATTGTTTGTTTGGTTCGTCGGAGAGTGACTGATGGTGTGACTAGCAATTCCCGTCTAATATATAAGGATTCGATGATGACCTCCATTGTGTTGGCATTAGTTCGGCGCCTGCGCACCTTGATCACACGTGCGCAATAAGGAATTCAACGCGACTTGAATATTTTGACTGCACTCACTAGAAGGATTGTACAGGATGTTTAAATTTGACCCACTATTAAAATTTTTTAATGATAAATTAATTATTTAGTACAGTTGACAGAAAAATATTGTCAATTTACGATTTATACATTAAAAAAAAAGACATAATATTATATTTGAACTCCATTCCGAAAATGTTCTATGAATCATTAAACACTGAAACTGGTCCACTTGGTATTTGACATTTCGTTTGATCGAAATCATTTCTTAGAATAATTTATTACGTAACCAAAAATCTGAAAATAGGATGTGTACCGGCGCGGCGTTCCTTTCAAATTTCGAATTTTGCGATTTTAGCGACTCGTCTCTAAGCGTCTATTAGAAACTCCAATATGGCATTATTTAATAAGATATCAGACCACAGCGTCAATGCTCTTGCAAACTCCGGGCCATTTGATTGAGGTTTGATAGTCGCCGTCACTCGTCACCGCGATTCAGGAATTGTTGAATTTACGTGCAGCGACATCTGTTGATAACAAACGAAATAGAAAAAATCTTACGTTATGGACATTTTTCCCGGTTAGGGTACCCCTCTGCATCGTCCCATAAGGAACTTCGTTCCAAAAAGGCTTGAGTGGCATTAAAGTAACAAACAGGTATACTTTGTTTTTGGGGCCGAGAACAAGATTCCCGTGAACGGAATAACTTTAATGCCAATAAACATCTTCGTGGACACTAGCCATTAAGTTCAAGTCTAGCTTGGAACAATATTCATGAGATACAGAAAAGGAGTACAAGGGGCTGTGTCATGAATGTATTAAGTAGCTACATACTACCAAGAACGGAAGAATTGGAAGTATATTTTTCTCCTATCTACGGATCTACCTACCTATTAGCTAGTAGCCTAAGGTAGGTGAGCACATAAGCTCAACCTGAGATAAAAAAAAAAAAACTACCACCGGATCGGAATCGCGACCCATTGAGAAGATCCAGTGAGAAACTCAGTGGGCTAAGGAAGTTATGAGTTAAAGTTATCAGCACATATCCTGTCGAATAGCTACTAGTCGGACTAATGTTCTGAAAGTGTATCCTATTTTTTCAGGATACTAGTATAACTAATTTATTTATTTACCGAATTATTTTTCGATTAAATATTTGATAGCCACTTGAGCATTAAGAGCTAGGTACAAAACGGAAGCAAAATTTTCCAAAAACGGGTAATACGGCTAGTTTTGATGTCGACTAATTCAGTGAATGTACAAAAACTTTCAATCAAAAGCAAGCCTACAAAAACATCGATTGATATTTTCAAGAACCCAACGATGTCGATTTACAAAATTCTACAATAAATTTTGACATACCCGAATAAATAAAATACTCGTGGAAACACATAAGTTGTCAACATCAATCGTAAATTAAATAATGACTCGTTAGTAGTAGCTTATTAATAATTCAAATCGAAGGAAAGATGTACGTAATTATATTCGGCGGTTATTATGAGATTGTTTTTATTTTTCGGTGTAAACTAGCTTAGAAGATATCGTTTATTCAGGAAAGATTTATAATCGATATTACCATATATCCAAGTATAAAGATAAAATGTTAGTGGAATTATAAAAATGATCTACATTTTTATATATCTAGGTTGTTTGGTTAAATCTTCTAATTAGATTAGTTTTCAAAATTTTGAATCTCCTTCAAGGTTCTGTTCTAAGAGCCCAAAGCTTTCGGAAAAAAAACCATCATCTCGAGACAAGAGCTTAAACTCTCTATGGTGATGGGCGACCGTTGCCGCTGTCGAACGCATAGCTGCTCCCAAGACTGAAATAAGTAGGGTGGAGGTACATACTTATGAAAATTTCAAAATAAAACCATAAACAATTAAATTGATTTAAAAAATATATATCTTTAACTTAAATGTCATCAGAATTTGCTCCTTGAATGTCAAAACACGCTAACCTTATTGTATAATAAATAGATGACGTTAGGCCGGACTAGACTAGAAGTATTATGTCTTCTAAACTTAGATATTTTAGACGAAATGCGTTAAAAGCCACATTTGTTTTATACGATGAAAAGTCTGTTCGTATACCAATCAAATACTAATATGGGACTCCGATTATGATGCTTTATTTTCTTGCACGTTAATATTGGTGATTTTCCTTTAGTATTGCCTAAATTAAGTCTTTCAATACTTCATACCAAGCCCTTTTCTCAGATAATGCACGATAGATCGGTCATCAGAGTCTCTCACCCTCTTGGAACATAGTGCAGGAAAGATGACCAAAACTTCTATTTGAAGTGGTACTCTCTGGCGCGAGTATACTAGCTGTATCCGTCTGCTTCTCTGGGCATTTAAAATTAACACTATTATTTCTCACTCCCACAAAGATTCTCATCATTAAGGCCCCCGCAACTGGTATAGGGGGTCCAACACTCATATAAATATTAGCCTATCCATTAAGTACATGTATTTTCTACATGGATACCAAGTTTCAAGTCAATCGGATGCATGGTTCAGTAGTTATAACGGAACATCCGCAAAAACCACTGTAGATTTATATATTAGTATAGATAATTTCAACCCATTGAAGAGATATGTTTGCGCGGCCACTGCACAGAAAGATCTTTTTGTCACGGTGGCAATGAGTATATGTGCAACCTTCCACGATTAATGAGATTCGTCATCATGAGCGTTGTTCAATATCGGTCATTTGAAAGTGCAAAGCTAACATAAAAAATGCTGGGACTTTTCAACAGAACTACCCGGTACTTCCCGCTTTGATAAAGATTTTTACAAGTAGAAATACGGTCTCGTGTGGAATATTGCTCCCACCTCTGGGCCGGTGTTCCCAAATACCAGCTACTTCTATCTCCATCCATGCAGAAGTGGGCCATTCGGATTATCAATAATCCCATTGTCACGGATCGTTTAGCATATCTGGATATACAGAGGGACTCCGGTTCACGATGTGTTTTGTACCATATGTTCCATGGGGAGTGGATTTAAGGAATTTTTTGAAGTAATTCTAACATCTCATTTTTATCATCGCACTGCCCAGACCAGAACAGAGCTCATCCATACTACCCAAAACCACTCAGTTCATCCATAATACTGCTCCAGAGGTCTTTTCTACCACGTACCATCCGGTTTTAGAGTAAGCTCCCCTCCACAATGTTTGTCGATTACCATGATTCTTCAAACGAGGCTTGCGGAGAGTACTTAGCGGTAGACAGCAGCTTGGCTCTACCCCTGGCATTGCTTACGTCCGTGGGTAGCTGATATCATTCAACATCAAGTGTATGTTGTAGGCCGTATGTTCGTACGCCGTGTGGCCTACAAAGGCAATAGTCTTCATCTTAGTCGGACACTCTTGTCAGTGCGGTCGTGGTTGCGCTGACGATGTATGTATGTGCAAAAGTATTCGTTAGGTCGCCCATGTTTTCGAGAATTGCCTTCCTGGCGATGCGCTTTGTGGGTGGTAGGGGCTATATGTTCGTAGAACGTATTGCCTACAAACGTGATATAAAAAAACACGTGTGGCACTCGGGGACTGCCGCGGTAAAGCTATTGCATAGCATTTTTTATCAACTTATGCAATTATAATTAGACAATAATAATTCAATATTAAAATAATAATTAAATAAGACCACGCTATATTTAACATTTATTTTATAAACATTAACAAAAGCAAAAAATTTACTGTTCCCTTCACAATCACAAGCTAGATCGCGCGAGAGAGATGAGCAGATTTTTCATGATGCGTATGTAGTGCGACGTCACGCCGCGCGCTTATTCACAAACACTACACAAGCGAAATGTATAAATGTGTTGAACGCGAATTACATGGTAGGCGGAGTGGGGGGAGTTAGGTTTTATTTTCGTTACGGAATTTCTTGATTCGGTCGCCGCGGTCAAAGCCCGCGATAAAAGTATGCAATAGCTTAAAAATAACAAAATAAAATAATAATGTTAAAATGGTCGAAGTGGTCGGTTGTAAACTTTAATCCAATAGAAACTGTAGCATGTATTGATTTTGATTTTTCTCCTCCCTAATCGCTGGTACCTTTGAGAGGCTATTTCAGCTTCACTGGGATGGTGGGCGAGCTAACAGGGTTCAGCCTGAGAGAACTGGCTCACGTCATCCAGCAGAAGAGCAGTGATACACTACATCAATCCGATTTGCTTCACTTTTTAATCTTCCAATAAGAGCGCGTTCATGAAAAAATATCCATTCGATAAGTTTGTTTTTTGTATTGCCTTTGATGGCAACCAATCTCGCGCCCGCTTGATATTGAATGATTCTTTTGAGCGGTTCAAGTTTGTATAGTTTTTTTTCTCTTAAAAATGCAATTGTAACACGCTGTATATTGGCGGTCAGGTACTTACTGTCTGTCGTCTAATGAAGACGACAAGGATCCGTCATGTCCAGAACATTCTATACGATGTCCACATTTGGCTTAGAATTTTAATTCGCGGTTCGCACATATAATAACAAATCGACAGCATTAGTCTTGTTCAAGGTCGCAATTAATAGTAACCGTGAACTTGAATTTCTTTCGAGTCTTTCTATTAATAAATGGCCAATTATCATATATATGTATGTTAATTCGTTTAAAACGTATCCATATTTGATATTTAGTTTCATCGCTTTATACGAGCGATCAACGCCTATATGAGCATTAGTGTTTTAAGCGATCGTTAATTTATGTTGCTTTTATAGATAGATTAAAGAAATCTTAAAGTTTATTATTATTTATTTATTGCATAAATGGATAAACGTGCTAAAGGCTAACTTCTTATTAAGAGATTACAAGAGTCCATAGATATCAAAACTAAATACCGCTGTTCACTTTGAACATTATTTTTATTGTACGATCTTCACTTCTTTGATAGTGG